ATAAAAATGAGGAAAAACCTCCCCTTTCCCTCTCCCCATTCCCCTGTCCTCCTCCAATGAGACCTCCAGCTCCTGAAACTTGAGATGTGTCAGAGCAAAGCAGGGGCCTCAAGTTCACTCCTGAGCCTGAGAAGCAGGTTGGATGGGAGCCAACCCAAGGCTTGGTCTTTCCCAGTGGTCCTCACAGGGCCTTGAGCTTTCAAATGGGGGCCCTGCAGAAGACCAGCAAGCGGGAAAGCCTCAACAAAGGGCCTCAGACCTTTCTCCAGGCCGTCACAAAATCCAGGCAAAGATGAAGCCACCCTCACCTGGAGTCTACTAGATAATCCAGGAAAGAGCTGGCAGTGACCTGGCCAATAGCTTTTCTAGTGTAGGGAACTGGAGAAAGAGACATTGTGCCCAAGGATGGGAGAGAGAGAGGCTCAGCTGACACCTTCATTAGGCAGAGTAGGTGTTTGTCTGTTACCTGTCTTCCCAGCTGTTCTGGTAAAATGCCCTGTGTTCACATTTTCATGTGCTGTGAATGCTAGGCTAGGGCTGGGAGTTTAGTGTGTGATTAACGGCCTACCTTAAAGCTGTATGTGCATCTCTCCCCTGCGGTTCGGGAGTGGGCAGTGCATGGCAGGGATGCTTACTGTATGTGTTCTTTCTTCTCTTTGCCCTCTTGCTGAACTCTGGGACTTGGGAGGCCATGGATCCATCCTTTCACTCAGCTGACATTTATCAAAGGGGCTCCTCTGCCTGGTTTTGTGCTAGAGAAATATAAAGTTGAACAAAACACAACATGGGTCCTGGAGCAGAGCATGGGCCAGTAGGATTAAGTTATCTGGTGTTTATTTTCTTTAGTGTAGGCCAGCATTTCCACAGAAAAGTCCGTAACTACCTCCCTTAGAAATGAAGATTTCCAGGCAGAATCTGTGCCTTCAGCCAGATTCTTGGGAGATTCTGCAGCAAGGACTGACTGTTTAGCCTTTATCTTGTTAAGGTCAATGTCTTCACCGATGCTGGTAGTTACAAAGGATTATAAACAACCATGTCCATAGAATAAGTCATACTCTTTAAAAGATTATTTGGCCATTTTTTGTGTGTGTGGTACTAGGGTTTGAGCTCAGGGCCTCACACATGCTAGGCAGGCACTCTACCACTTGAGCCAATCCCCTCCCCTTTTTGCCTTAGTTATTTTTTTGGATAGGGTCTCATGTTTTTGCTTGGGACTGGTGAGGACTGCAGTCTTCCTACCCATGCCTCCTACATAGCTGGCATGACAGATGCTATCACCACAACTGACTTTTTTATTGAAAGAGGTCTCACTAACTTTTTGCCCCACCTGGCCTGAACCATGATCCTCCTTATCCCTGCCTCCTGTGTAGCTAGGAGACACAAACCACTGTGCCTGGCCTGTTTTAACAATCTTAATGTCTCTGCACGTGATCTAATGGGGGAAATAGTTCAGGAGTGAGCATTTCACTGCCCTCAGCTTTCCATAAGCCAGAGGCAGAGCTCCTTGCCCTCATCAGATCAGTGAATTATCTCAGTTAAAGAGGAACCAACAATTCAGCCACTCTAGAGAGAGAAGAAGAGCTCAGTGAAGGGAGCCAGATTTTGGGGTTCATGTCACCTAATCTGTAGGTTCCCCACCAGGGTCTCATTGCTACATCTCCATGTTGCTGTTCTTATTCTCCCCAGTCTCTCAGCTCTGGGAGAATTGTTCTATTATCACATCCTGCATTTTCATTGTGATCCTTTTAGGTGGGAAAGTGCTGCAAAGCCAAGCCTTTACCCCCTTTTGCAGTGCAGTCAAGTGTGCGTCCTCCTTCCCTCCTGCCACCCTTACCTCCCTTTCCAGATTTCATTCTGCCAGCTGGCAGAAACGACAGGCCAGGCTGCTGGAGGAGCTCCACTCTGTCTTAGGCTGTTTTCTGCAGGAGAGAGGGATGGATGGGGTGGACATTTTGTCCTAATGATAACCCCAGCATGAGAAAGATAGGGATCCAGCAGCCAGGCGGCGGGTGTCATCTGGGACTCTGCCCAGACTGCAGTGACTGAACAGCCATCCTCTGTGCCTGTGAGCTCTCCTCAGCCTTCCTTGGGGAACGCTGGTACTTCTAATCAGCAAGTATGTCTCAAAGATGAGGTATTGTGCTGCATCTGTTTTAAAGCATAGAGGTACTGTGGAAAGACAACTAGGAATTCACCAAAGAGCATTATAACAGTTACCATTGCCGGAAAAATCTGTGGGTGCCAAAAATATTTCAAAGTTGATTGTTTATTTTAAGCATATGTTAAAAAGGAAAAATTCCAGGACAGCAAAGATGTGGGAGAAACCCTTCAAATAGGTTCAGTGGAGCCCTTCTCTCAGATCTATATATGCTAAGTCTTGGCATTTATTGTTAAGGAAATTCCATTTTTGTGAATCTTAAAATTTAGGAAATTGGGAATCTGAGGATGAGTACTACACACTGTAAAGTGGGCTCAGGCTTGGAACCCATGGTGTAGCCAAGGCCAGAGATAAGAAAAGGGTCTAGAAGGTTTGGGGAGCTACCATGGACCTCTGTTTCCTCCTGTGCTAAATGCTAAGGTGACCCCTTTGGCCTCAAAAATTGTGAATCCCCTAGTGGCTTAATCTGTGGTATGCTTGACTTTCTTTTGTAGAATGAATTTCCAGAAAAGCTCTTAATTTCAAGGTCATCAAATGTGAACAAACACATATACATGTATCTATCTATAGAGAAAGAGAGAGAAGAGAGCCTGATGTAATTTATCTGGGGGCTATGCATAAAAGTACCCTTTATTCCAGCATCTTATAATGAGTCCTTTTTGTATTTCAGTAAAAAAGTTCTATACTCTCCCACTCCAAAATGAATCCAGTGGAGCTGAATCCATTTATGTCCTGAATACTTTTTTTTAACATTCTTATTAATACATAGTAGTTGTACAGGGGACCTCATTGTGACATTCACATATGTGTTTACCATGTATCTTAATTAGATTCACTCCTCCATTCTCCTCCTCCTCCCCCTCATTCTTCTTAGAACAATTTCATCAGGTTTCATTGTTCTACTTTCGTACACATATACAAAGTACATCAACCATATTAGCCCTCCCCATTTAACTTCCCCCATCCCACTGGTACCCAGCCCCAGACAGGACCTGCTTTACCTTCTTGCCCTTCATTTTTTATGTGTACATTGATTATTAAATGGGGTTTGCTATGGTATTTCATACATGAATACTTTTCGAGCAAGATTTTTGTCAGAAAAATATAGCTAGATTCTATCTCAGAACTTACTGCTATTGTCATTCTTCAGGTCCTCAAGATGTGCAATTAAATTTTATTTTTATTATATGAGTTGTCAAAAACAATGAGATTGGCATCTCTCATGGTTCAAGCTGTGTCCATTAAGAACAGGAATCAAGAAAAGAATTGTGTCTATTCTGTCTGATGTTATATATGGTCTCATTAGAAGGCTGATTTTGAACCTCTGGCACAGTCATTTTTCACTGATGCTCTAAGGGATGGCCTATCTAGTAAAAGCACATTTTGATATCAGAGAGATTTAGGATTAAATTCTGGCTTTAGACCAGGTGCCAGTGGCTCACGGCTGTAATCCTAGCTACTCAGAAGGCAGAGATCAGGAAGATCGCAGTTCAAAGCCAGCCTGGTCAAATAGTTCGTGAGACCCTATCTCGAAAAAACCCCTCACAGAAAAGGGCTGGTGGAGTGGCTCAAGATGTAGGCCTTGAGTTCAAGCCCCAGTACCACCAAAAAAAAGAAAAAATCTGGCTTTAATTTCTTCATGATCTCATATGACCATAGATTTGTCACCTCTAGGAGTTTCTCACTGTAAATATAAGGATAGAGATAAATTCAACATAGGATTTTATTCTTTTTGTGAGAATTAAATAAATCAGTGTACACAGAAATGACTAACAAAATGCTTGGCACATAGTAGGTCCTCTTACAAATGCATTGGTATTACACAACACTGTGAATAACTTACTTAATGCTATTAATTCATACACTTTAAGAATGGTTAAAAGGGTAAATTTTATGTAACATATATTTGACTACACACACAAAGAAAAGTATTTCTGTGGCTGACCACCATCTCTTATGCCTAAAATGTACCAGCTACATCCTCAGCATTCTGTGAGCTAAGGGCATAGAATGTTAACATAGGGGACCTTGGAGGTCTGTTACTAGTCTGACCATCCCAACTGTAGTGCTCCATTCCACCCAGCCTGGGACCACAGTCTTTACCCCCACTGCCCCAGAGCTTCTTCTCAACTTCCTGGGTTATGTTGGAAGTGAAAGCCAAAATGGTGGTGAATTTAGACCCAATACCCACTGGAATGATAACATCTACACCAGTGGTATCCCGCGTCCTTCCCAAGATAGAACCTTGCTTCAAGTGTCCAGGTGTTGAATAATCTCCACCTTGATGCCGTGGCTGCCTCAATTTCTCTCCCCGACTGGATATCCTATGGTTGATATCTGTCAGTGTTCAGCCACAGAAATAGAAATGCTATTTTTCCTTTTCTTTTTTTTTCCTTACCCAAGAAAACTAAGACTTTTCTGAACTGATAGCCATCTTTTCTTAACCTATTTTTGAGCCTTCAGCTCTGGAAAGATATGTCACCACTCTTCGGTTATTATTTTGATTTGGGTTATGGATGCTGAATCATCGAGTATCTTCTTTATGGTGAATTTATGTCTCTTTAAAGATTTTTATCTGGAGAAATAGTTTGGTTTAGTATTCCCTGTTTTAAAACTTGTAAAGAATCTCATTGCTAACAGCTTTTACCTTGTGGAATGGGGGGAGAGGAGGCAGCACATGGAGAGGCCTCCTGACAGCTTAGGCCTTTCTACCATAGGAGTGATGTATTGACAAAAAGCAGTAGAGAGATGAAGAGGCAGGTGACCAAGCAGTAAGTAGTTAGTCAGAAAGAGCCCTTTGTGGATATGAATTGCACATGACATGGTTTTCTTTTGATTATAGCAAGCGGATGAGACCCTGGATTTTGAAGAACAGATCTTGGAAGCTGCTAAATCCATTGCTGCTGCCACGAGTGCCCTGGTCAAATCAGCCTCAGCAGCCCAGAGGGAGCTGGTGGCCCAAGGCAAGGTGGGTAAACCTGGCTGGCCAAGCAGTAGAACATCCACATAGGTAGAGCCACCAAGGGAAAAGCTTTGGCCTGACCAAGGGCATGCATGCTGGCCTTGCCTCTCTGGATTACCAGTCTTTGCCCCACCACTGAAAACGACATAAATTCAACCAGCAGAATGAAAGTTCTGACTTCTGGGCCACTCATCTGCTTCTCATTAGGAAAAGCATTCTCTTCCAGGCAATGATTAGCAACTGAATGAGACACTTAGAGTCCCACTGTACATTAGGCTACTTAAAGATGAAAGCCATCATAAGTTTCCTGGTGAACAACCTAATAAGCACCATAGTTGGCAGCTTTATATACCACTTCCTAGCTCCAAATGGCTCCAGTTGGTTTTAGGACTGTTGAACTGAGTGCTGGCAACTTTGCACTTTCCTGAACCTGGTTGTGAAAAGACCAGCCTGAGAGTTCTTCAGTCTGCTTCATCCCCAGTCACCCATTCTGTCTGCACTAGAATAAAGGCATAGTTGTTTTTGAACAGTTCAAAAGATTAATAGTACATTAGAGTAATTCTGGGTATGGAACACTCTTCCAACTTTAAAATAAGCCATGTGTCCTGTTATTCCCATACAACATGGGTCTATCAAAATGGCATCTCACAGAAACCCTCTCAAATACAGATGTACTACAAGAAATCTGGCAGCTTGTGGACCCGGGAAAATTAGTTACTGTCATTGTCAGTCATTTGCATCTGATATTTAAAGGTCTTCACAATCTGTGTACAAAGAGATAGATTGTGTCCTGTAGTACAGACAAGAAGCTATGCCTGACCCGTGACTGTTCATCACCCCTCAGGAAGTCCATGTGTCTAATCCACATACTTTGACTCTTCTTTCTAAGCCATCATTTCTGTACGTCTTCCCGCCTGACATACCAGCTGTCACTTCATGCTTCTTGCTTCACCTCCTTAGATCCATCAGGGTGCTGGATCTTGCCATGCATGTTCATCAGGTTCTTGTTGATTGGTCAACACGTAAAGACCACAAATGGACCAATTGAACAGAACATCCTTCCTAGAAACTTCGGTTTTCTTCAACAGTAACAAAGAGCTGACTGTGTGCTAGAACATTGCCAGATACCAGAGAATCTACCTTGAACATGGTACATTTCCTATCCTCCAAGGGACTTACGTGTTCACGTTTATAAAGGAGGGCTTTACAAGCAGTCCTCTTGGGAGGACTGCAGGATTATGGGCAGGACCTTGGGGTTTTAACAGACACTCAGCAGGTGCCTGTAACTGCTGTTAGATCTCAATCTGGCTTTCAGATTGAGACATTCCTCTTGCCTCTCAAGCATCTTCTACAAGTAGGAAGGTGTTTCCTACCCTAGCTATGCCATCTAGATCTGGACAGAAAGTCCTTCACTTAGTGCCATGGTTTCTAAATAGAAACAGAGATCCTTCTTCCTGCCTCTTCGCTCCTCACCCCTGACAAGATAATCTATATTTCCTTCAGGCAAGGGTCTGCAGTCCATTGTACAGAGGGAAATGCACCACCGCTGTGAAATGTCATCTGCCAGGAACTTGCAGTATAGCTTTATGGTCCAGTAATCAGGAGAGATTCAAGTTTCCTTGACCCTTGAAGGAGGTGGCCTTGGTGGCTTCCATATTTAAAATGGGAAAAAAGTCAGCAGAGGGAGTAAGCATGTAAAGACAATGCCAAACCATCGTTCCTAAGCCATTTCCCAAATGCAATATCCAGAAGCTACATAGGGGTTGTTCTGAGCACTGAGCACCTTCCATTGCCTCTGTGGCCAGAATGGAAACCAGCAGCCTGTGCTGGGACAGTGGCACTATGGCCAGTATCCGTGAGAGGAAGGGTTTCTCCATTCTAAGGCTAGTGATGTTTGGTGGAGGTCACCAGAAAGTGCTGTGTGTCTTGTTGCAGGGCAAAGAAGGGTCTGAGGGGGGCTGCAGGCCACCTTGGCCTTCCGGCTCTCATTGCAGGTGTCCTCTGCCCTCTCCAGGTGGGCTCCATCCCCGCCAATGCTGCAGACGATGGACAGTGGTCCCAGGGGCTGATTTCTGCCGTGAGTCAACTTCTCCTTCCTCCCCATTTGCTTTGTGGATGCCCTGAGGGACATTTGGGCCTTGGGTCACTTCTCTGTTGACTGTCCTCAGGCCCGGATGGTGGCAGCTGCGACCAGCAGTCTCTGTGAGGCAGCCAATGCCTCTGTTCAGGGTCATGCCAGTGAGGAGAAGCTTATCTCATCTGCCAAGCAGGTCGCCGCTTCCACGGCTCAGCTGTTGGTGGCCTGCAAGGTGAAAGCCGACCAGGACTCAGAGGCCATGAGGCGGCTACAGGTAATGGTCACTGATGCTGGTGGGAAAATACTCCTGTTGGAGCGGGTAAGTGTCACTAACAGGGATGGTGTTACTTCCTTGGCATGACCAACCAGGCCTTCCATCAGCTAATTCTGTTCCACTTTCCAGTCTCATCCTCTGCCTCATGAGTCCATGCGTTCCACACCCGCTATTCACATCCTGCCTGTGCCTTCTGGGCTGGTGCCTTGGAGCCATCACTTACCTAGAATGGCCTGGCCTCCCACCAGCCCAGCCTAGCAAACTCCTACTTGTCCTTTGTGACTTGTCTCCGTGTCACCTCTTCTGGGGAGCCCTCCCTGTTTCCAGGGACTTGGATACTCAGTCCCTCCTCTGTCCTGCCAGAGCCCCTGGCCTGGCCACTCTTATGATTCCTGTCACATGGCACCACTGTATTTTTACTTGTGTCTGTGACAAGGCTGTGAGCTTTTAGGTACCACATCCTCATCATGACATCTGTCACACCTAACGTGGTGTGCCTGCAGAGAAGGCCCTCAGCAGGAGTGAAGGCATGGGGGACGGGTTGTGACATTACTAAGGTTGCTCAGAGTCCAGAGAGATGTTTATGAAGGTGACAATCAAATCCTTCCCAGCACCTACACATTTTTTATCTGATTGTTCCAATTATAAAAATACTTTAAACACAACGAAGGAGACATTTCAATAAAAAATATTAAGTAGCCTCGGTGTCTTCACACATCAAATGTTTCATTGTTTTCTGTTCCAGTTATCTGTGTTTAAGATCAGTTTGTCTGGTTGTCATCATGGCAAGACACATCCTGCTTTCTTTTCACTAATGCTCTCATGCACATTTGTTCTTTGAGGACGAGGCTCTGTTCTTTGTGGGTCTCGTTTTTAACGATTGCATGGTTGTATATTCTGACTATTTCAGAATTCTCTAGAATTTCACTGTGATTAATTGTTACAATGTATATTATTTATATTGCTAAATCTATATGATGTCTAAGTCATAAAGCACAGAAATGTATGAGCAATTCCACCAGAATTCAGAGATTCTATTCAGAGATCACTTTATTTTGAAAACCCAAAGTGTATTTCTGTGGCATGGGCTTTCCCAGTCTTTCTAACCTGCCTCCCTCACCTCCATTTGACTCCTAGGATAAACCTAGGGGGAACTGAGAAGCTGCATTTTGAGTTTGGGGGATACTTCTTCTTAGGAAGACCTGAGTTCAAACACTGCCTCTGCCATGAATGAGGTGCATGACCTCATACAAATCACTCAAAACTTCTGAGACTGAAGTGGCTTCATCTGCAGAGTGAGGATAAGGATATCCACACTGACTCTTTGAGAGTTAAGTAGGATAATGGACATGAAAATGATTTTGGAAGTCCTAATGCAGATACGACATATTACCACTCTTGTTAACATGGTTCCTGATTAATTTGGACCCTTTCAGCTGACCCAGGAGTTCTCTGGAGCTAGACAGACCAATTTGCAGATGCTGTCTGTATAACTTAAGAGTCACAGGATCTTCAGCACGTTCCTTAACCTCAGCCTCCATGTCAGAAAAGAGGGCTAATGGTTTCTGACCTGATAAGAACTCTTGCAAAGCCAGCACATGATGACTACTTGCTATGTTAGTTGGCTTCCCTTCTTGTGCAAGCCCTCATTGCTCTCATTGGTCACTCTAGGTTGCCAGCCAGTTAACTGAATGAGAAAAACTCAATTTTCTCATGGCTAGCCCTCAAACACAAACCCTTGACTTGGAGTGGGTCTGGGCAAGAATGTGGAACATCTAATGACGCCTCGACCATCATTAGAAGAAAATTCTAAATCTGAGCTAGCAGAGGACAAGTCCTCAGGGACATGCTTCATGAGCATTAAGAGTAAGCTAGAATGGAAACCCAGCATGGTGGCAGACAGCTGTAATACCATCTGTAATCTCAGGAAGCTGAGGCGGGAAAATCTGGAATTGGAGTCTAGCCTGGGCAACAATAATGAGATCCTATCTCCAAAAGGGGAGGGAGTGGGGATCAGAATAGGTGATAACCTGTGAGGAAGACCTATATTTCACATTGAAAAGCTATTCTACACCTGTCTCTAGCAACTCACCCCATCCTTGAATTTATGGCATAAAGCCCAGCTTTGACTCAAAGTACATCTCTGGTTACTATGAGGCTCACAGCGCCCCCTGCAGGGCAGTCTTGTACATTCATAGTCCTTCATTCCCTCAGCACACCTTCAGTAAATACCAACTCTGGACAGCCACTGTACCAGGTGCTAGGGATGCAAAGATTCACATTATTCCCCATGCTCCCAAATTGTCCAGGAAGGAGACAAACGACCCCAAGTATGGTAAGGGCCAGCACAGAGCATTCCAGGAGTACTGAGGGAGGAATGGCAGACAGCAGACAGGAAAAAGTGTTGTCTGAGCCAAATCCTCAAGTATGTGCTGAATTGGATGGGAAGCAGAGAGAAGTGGTTTTCTAGACCAGGGAGGCGGCCCCTGAGCACAGTTCTGTTAACATGCATATCACATTGCTACAGTCACTTTTGACATGACTATAATTCTCAAGTGTCCTCCTTGGGGGCCAGGAACTGGCTTCATTCACCTTTAAGTGGCCTGTGGTTAGGTAGGTATCAGTGTTGGTAGAGTGATGGACAGATGGACAGACAAATGGATACTCACTGGCTAAGACTTTTGTGTTATAATTGGATGATAAATTAACTCAGAGTCTCGTGAACTGTCCCTTCATGTCTGTTCTTGCCAGACCCAAATGCTGTTGCTAATGATAGATGTGTGTCTTGTTTCCTCTCCAGGCAGCAGGAAATGCTGTGAAAAGAGCCTCAGACAATCTTGTTCGTGCAGCCCAGAAGGCAGCATTTGGCAAAGCTGATGATGATGATGTGGTAGTGAAAACAAAGTTTGTGGGAGGCATTGCCCAGGTTAGTGATTAAATCCACGACAGAGTTTACTCCCAAGATGAGTGTTGCATTACAAAAGACAGACAAGACAGCAGTGACTTAAACGAGACAGAAGTTTATCCCCCCTTCATGGAACTGCCTGGATATAAGTAGTCTAGGGATGATATAATGGTTTCTTCATGTCTAAGACCCAGACTCCATCTTCCTTATTATTCCCTATCCCTGAGACATTGTCCTTGCCCACTTGGTTGATTTAATTACCACCTCAGCTTTCCATCTACCAGGAAGAGGGAAAAAAGGGGAGGGTATGACCCTGAAGTTGCATACATCACTTCCGCTCCCATACAGTTGGTCAATATTTAGTCATGTGGTCAACCTACCTGCATGGGAAGCTGGGAAATGTAGTATTCTTTTTGAGTAGCCATATACCCAGCTAAAAATCAGGGATTCTGTTATAGAAAAGGAGAAGAACAGAAACTGGAGGAGCAATGTTATCCTTTAAATAAAATGATACATCTGGAACTGCTGCTCTCCCTAACCATTTGGGCCACTAAGAGAATTGAATGCTTATTCTCTCCAGAATGTGTATAAGAATATATGGGATCAACTTACGCAGAATTGTATTCTCACATGTGGGAGTGAGGAGAAAAGTCTGGAAAGCCAGGCTTGCAGCTTTTTGTGTGTGTTAATATAGATCATTGCATGATGCTGTTTTTCTTTTCTTTTCTTTTCTTTCTTTTCTTTGTGGTAATGGGTTTGAACACAGGGCCTTGTGCTTGCTAGGCACGCACTCTACCACTTGAACCACTCCATTAGCCCTGGTGCTGGTTTTCTTACCCATATCAGAAACACTGCAGTTACTCCTGCTCCATGCCTTCCTTAGCTCTTCCTGAACTACTCCCTCCATTTGGCAGTGCACTAGATACATTTTTACCAGAATATGTTTCTCGATGTGCTAGTTCTTGATGTGTTGGAAGTTCCACAAAGAAGAGCCTCTGATCAAATAAATCTGGGAAATACTGCTGTAAATATCGCAATCTTGGTCACAGAATTTGTTAGCCTAGCAAAGACTCTGAAAAGGCCCACAGGAAAGGAATTTGGCTTTCTTGAACACAAACCTATCCTTTTCATGTAATACTCATTAGCTAATATTGCTCAGAAGCATGCAGTAATTACCATAGTCCTCTGTATCTAGCATCTGTTATGCATCCTTAGATTCAACCAGTTGTGGACTGAAAATATTCAGGCAGAAAATTGCATTGTTCAAAACATGGACAGACCTTTTTCTCATTATTATTCATTAAACGATACAGTGTGACAGTTATGAACATGGCATTTACATTACATTGTACGTTATCTAGAGGTGATTTAAAATATACAGAAGGCTTTGCAAATACTATGTCATTTTCTCTAAGGGACTTGCACATCCATGGTTTGGTGTCTATTGGGAGTCCAGGAATCAATCCCCCACAGATACCAAGCCATCTGTATAGAAGGCCATCTAGTGCTTGCAGGTCCCTGCTTTAGCTCAAGCACACCTGGGCCTAGTTCTGCATAAGCTGAGTGACTCCAGTGAAAGAGAGCCACACCTGTTAGCTTCAGGTACCTTATTGGACAAATAGGACTTTCACTAGGACATACTTCACAAGCTTGCCATGAAGGTGATGGGACAATCTATATGAAGTGCTGGCACCCAAGCCAGGTGCATAGTAGGGATACAGATGTTTGCTGTTAAGTCACTGGCCAGCTTGTCATATTGGGTTAGCTGGGTCATTGGTCTCAAAACCCAAACTGTGGCAGAGACTGACCTCCAGACCCAAGAGTGATGCTGCTGGTACACTGAGTCCACTGTAGCAGGGGCCACAGGAGAGAGAGATTTCATAAAAACCTTTCAATCCATCCTACTTGTTGCTTTCTTTCCTAGATCATTGCAGCCCAGGAGGAAATGCTAAAGAAAGAGCGAGAACTGGAAGAAGCAAGGAAAAAACTGGCCCAAATCCGCCAGCAGCAGTATAAATTCCTACCCACCGAGCTGAGGGAGGACGAGGGCTAAGGCCAGGCCAGAATGCCAGCCCCAGAAATTGGCCCTGCAAGAACTGGACAGACAGTGTTCCTGAGAACCAGACACTTAGCTGGGAGCTATCTGGCTCCCCCTGGGGCTAGCCCAGCACCTCGAGTCTCATTCTCACTCCTCTGTCCTGTGGACACAGGCTGCATGATCGTGATGTCATATGGTACAGCGTCCTACCCAGAGCTCCTCTGCCACCTCCCCTCATGCCTCACTATATCTCACGAGAGAGGGGTGCACATTTTGTGGACTGTTACCAAAAAAGAGAAGTCAGTATTATGTCATTCTCAGATACCTTTGCTTTTGTTCATCCTCCTCTAGGCTTGCTCTGGGGCGTCTTTGTGAAATCATACTGGGAAAAAAATAATGGCCTGAGGGGAATCGTTGATATCATAGATACTCTTCTCCCTCTCAAGAGAAGATGGAAGTTGAAGTTGGACATGGTTAATAAAAGCCAGAAATACAAACCCAGGTGGCTCTGGGAGGGTGACTAAGGTTCCCCTTCCGTGTCTTGAGCACTGACTCACCCAAGGGGTAAAGAATCCCCGCTCTTATTTGCACGCCTCCTTGCTTAGTGTGTAAGTTCCTTGTACAGTCTACACCCATCTTGTATTCTGTGGCCAGGAAAATCAAGCAGTTTTTTTTTTTTTTGTTCTCCATAATCCAAAGGACAGAGTTGTGGGAGGCTGCCAGGGTTTGGGGGCAGGGACTGGAATAAAACACATGGGCTCCTTACTCTACAGAGGCTGCTTCAATTCCTACAGATGCATACACACAACCTATGTCCCTGATTACAGTCAACAAAGTGCTCCCTAAGCAGCCAGGGGGAGCTTCAGCTGGAATGAAGCAACTCCATCTTCAAGTCCCAGGTTGGTCTCTCTGCTCTTAGAGGACCAAAGGCATCTGCTTAGAAATGTGTCACCTGTCTTCCATCCCAAGAGAACGTTTTTTCTGAATGTTGGTATTCCTAAACTCTAGATGCATCCTAAAATCAACGTGGACCTTTTTAACTATGATATTGTTGCTCATTGTCACGTAAGTGAAGACATACAGTGTTTTCAGAGTCCATCTTCTGGGTGCCATTCTTCCAGCATTTCATATTTCTTCTCCTCCTTCCTTTCTTTTTCCTTTTGAGCTCTTTCCTGGGAAGGGCGTTAAGAGCTTGAATTTATGTCAATCTGAGCCGCTACCCAAGACGATACATGAAGGATGAGTGGCTTGTGGGATAGAGCCTAATGCCAGGTAGCAGTGTCTGAAAGAAATCCTGACAGGAAGATGAGAGTTAATGGGGGGTTTGCCAAACTGTTGAAGGCAGAATCCTCCTCATCCCTTGGGGTGTGGTACCAGGTCACACTCTTGGGGTGTGGTTTCACTATTTGAAACCAAATAGTTTCAAAATTCCACCCAGGAGGAAAATTTGGGGCTCTGGCCCTCAAAAGATGTCAATTTCCACTTTGCCTAATGATCCTGCATTAATAGACCTGAGCCCATGCCATGGTTTTAAAATACAATTCAACTTTTGACAGCTTCCCATACTTATAAAGTACTTATAAGTGCTGCACATATGAGTTTGGTTTTTTTCAGACAGGTAGAAAATTAGTGTAAATAGTAGAAATGCTGTGTGACTGAAAAGCAAATGCAGAGAACACGTGGAGGAGTGAGGGAAGATGGCAACCAGCCCAGCAGAGGAGGTGTGCCGGGGAGCCCCGGCCTCTCAGGGAGAGTGACATGCGTGTTAAGTGTAGGTGAAATAGCTCTTCATGCCTGCACTGGCGGACACTTTAAAGGGGCACAGGAGCTTTCCAAAACTATAAATCAGACCCCAAATTTGGGGTCAAGATGTTAATGACCTCATATAGGACTCTGGGGAGGTGTGCCATGGCCTGGCCCACCCTCTTCCCTCCAGTGCCCAGTGCCCACTTCTTTCCACTTGTCCCCTGTCACATGCTAGCATCCCAGCAGCAAGGCAGAGACAAGCAGAGAGTTCTCTGCCCCTGCCTTAGGCTCACTTAAAACCTTGACTGCCTTTGTTACCAGAAAACCCTGCAGAGACAAACCAAATGGAAAGGCCTGTCCTCTACAACTTTAAAGACCAGGACTGGAACACAGGTTTATTTTTGTAGGAACTGTATAAATGCTCTCCTGTCTGGAGTTTTCTGCTGCTAGGAGCTTTAGAGAAAGTTCCCAGTTATCACCTGGTTTGGTCCTCTTTGTATCTGTCTCTTTCTTGTCATGTACACTGCACGTGTGTGTGAATGGCCTCATAGCCAGCTTGGTCTTTTCTCACTTCATAAAATGGGTGGAAGCCATGCTTTGGGCAAGTGTCTTGGGGATGGCACCAAGGGGGATTTCTGGTTCCTCAAAGGGAAAGAATGCAGATAATGCATTGAACTTGGGGTGTGAACTTTTAGAGCATCTAACCAGAGGGTAGTTATGGGTAAAAGTAGCACAGCAATGCATCCATCTGTGTGAGGGGAGAGCAGGTGTGCAGATGTGTGCCCTCCTCACTCCCTCTGCGGGTGAGGGGAACGCATGTTCACTTTGGATCTTTGGGTCGAATTTTGTCCCCAGAAATTGTTTCTGATGGTCAAAAAAGGAATGAGCTAGACTTTGGAACAGCCTGGTGATTTGGGAGTTTCTATTTGGGTTGGTTCTACCTTTCATAACTGATCAGGTCAGGATGCTAAGGTCACGTTTGGTCAGCCAGCCCTCATGGAGCTCTTCCAGGGTCCAGTCCATAACTATCAGCCCAGGCAAGTGCTTGGACCTTGGCTGTTCCTCTGGTCATTACAAGTGGGCTACAGGCAGCTGTCCGGCCTGCAGTCTGTGCAGGCCTTCAGGGCCGAGCCAGCCCTTTGGGCATAGGCTTTTATTCCAAAAAAAACCTGAGATTCTCAGAGGCCTTAACTGCGTGCTTTCTGAGTGTTTTAATAGCCAGTGAGTGTACAGGCAACTGGTAGGTGGTCCCCAAAGTCTCTCCCAGCTCGGAGGATTTAGGTTATGATCAGGCCTCTGGGTCCAGGCCTTAAGACCCCCACATAGACTGTCAGCATTGCTGCTCTCAGATTCCTGGAGGAAACAAACCCTCCAGTGACCAAGGGAACCCTTAGCAGGAACCAAGGAATGTAAACAAAATATTCATTTCTGGCTGAGAGGCAGTGGTCCCCAGAGTTATGAAACCCAAAAGTCCTGATGGCTGTGTTAGTGGCTTATGTCTCACCTCTTCACAGTCCTCCAAGTGCTGGCCTCAGGAGGCAACCTACTGGCGAAGGAATCCTTTCCAAAGGAGTCTCAAGTACCACGCTCAAGTTCCCTGCCACCACCTGCTCCACCTCTCTGAGCTTGTGCATGGTGTGTACAGTTATGGTCATTGGAAATGAGTGTGTAACAGACCTTCTGTGATGTGAAAATACCATGAAGGAGAGCTGTTGCTTTTCTCTGATGGGGTTTTAGTTCAGCCTCTGGCCCTCAGGGAGTGTTGCCATGTGAGAGCCTCCAGTGGTGTCTCCTTGTCCAGAAAGCACCAGCTTGGGTTTCCCTCAGCTCCTCGCTAAGCTGCAACATCCACAAGAAAGACAGAAAAGTGAGCTCTGCCCTTGTCATGTGTCTAATCACATAAATTAATTTATCTAATCACATAAATTATTTTTTTTATTCATCAGAAATAAACTTTTAAAGGAAGAAACCTGTGTGACGGTCTCATGACAGTGGGAGGAAGGTGAAAAAGAGGGAGGACAATGTGTCTTTATAATGACAGAAATTCCATCTCGAGCACCAGCAGCATCATGGGTCCCAGGCGTGTTTAGGAGAGGTGTGTGTGTGTGTGTGTGTGTGTGTGTGTGTGTGTGTGTGAGAGAGAGAGAGAGAGAGAGAGAGGCGTGAGAAAGGGAAAGGAGGTGAATTCTACTCAGCTTTACTTACATGAAATCCAAAGAAGAAATAGGAATAGGAAGATGTGATTATTTTCCTCTGCCACAAGCAGACTTCTGGCAAGTAGTTTGGGATGTCACAACACTGGAGGACTGCACAGCTAAGTTCAGAAGTGCACATTTGAGACACTCCAGGAACCTGCCACAGGAGGTTAGGTTCACTTCTGACAGCTGAGGCCCAGAATGTCACCTCTGGGCCCTCCTTCCTGTTTGAGGAGGCGGATGCTTGACCAGAAGTCCTTGTTTCCGGGGCAGCCAGACTTAGAAAAATATGAGGAGTTTCTAATCTGCAGGAGAGAGGAGTGTTAGAGAATCACCATAGTGACCAAGAGTGTCACTGGTGTGTCCAACAAAAGAGGATTTTCTTAGCTCTTAAAATAGTGGCTTAGGATCTCTGAAATGAGAAGCCTGAGGTGCAGACCAGGATGTGGGGAGGGGAGCTAACGCTTGCTGGGCCTCCTGGGCGTCAGCTTGATCTCCCCAGGGACCTGCCACAGGTCAGCCATAGGGAAGGTGCTATGGCCATTGCAGAGGGGCAGCTGAGCCTCAGCAAGGCAGGAAGTAGCAGGTGGGGAGTTGGATGCTGACTGTTGAAATTCCCATCCTCTGTGCCCGAAGCCAAGCCTAACCCACCAAGAAGCTTACCTTACAAATGGTTCAGCACCTGCTGCGCACAGGATACTGGGACCCAACCTTATTCCCAGAGAAGGTCAGGGATAGCCAACACTTAACCAGGGCCATGGGAGAAAACCTGGGAAAGTCTTCCAAGAAGAGAACCTTGGGTCCAACTCCTAATGCAAGGGGTCTCCCAGGCAGAGGAGTCAGTGAGGGTGATGCTGCAGTTGCAGGACTGTGTACAATCCTGTGCAAAGCAATGGGTTTACAGAGGGGGGATGGCTGAAGGGAACAAGGAGCAATTCAATGAGGCTGGAGCTTGAGGGGTGTGGTGTGTAGAGGAGGCAGCCAGGAACACACCATGAGGCCCTTCGTGTACCTACAGCACTTCAAATTCTGTGCGAGGAGATCAGAAGAGAAACCGTCCTGGCAAGCATGGAGACATGCTAATGAAGGTCAACAAAACGCCCCAGTGAGTTGGGTCCCACGCTTTCAAGTTCAGGGCAATGAAAGAGGATGGGAGCCAAGCTGTAGCACTCTCATGGGGTCACCGCAGGGGAGGGTCTGCTGCCAGTGAAGCCTGGGGTTGCAAATGCTTCACCTCAAGATAACACTTGCTATACACCCTTTGTGCCTCCATTTAGTCCTCACAGTAACTAAATACAACAAGATGCATAGGTACTCTTTTGTAGATGATAAGGCTGAAGCACAGAGAAGTTAGGTAATTTGCCTGAGGCTGCACAGCAAGTACAGCTGAGATCTCCCAATTATTGTTATGATTGCCCTGCTAATAAGTGGCTAAGTAGAAGCTCAGGCTCCAGTTTGTTTCCAAAGCTCACGTTTTAACTAAGTCTCTGGAGTAGTGGAGTCTCAGCCTGCAGGATGGAAACCAAGCAGCCAGAGGTAAGAAAGGCCTCGCAGCGGAAGGAACCATGTCGCGTGTGCCAGAGCCTGTTTCGAGCTAGAGGCTCCTGGGGGGCTGATAGAGTGGCTCAAGTGGTAGAGTGCCTGCCTAGAGGCTCCTGGGCAATGACGGAGAGTTTGGGACTGCAGGAAAGGAGGATGAGTCCGCAGGTGTCGGTGGCAGGACGGCACATCCTGAGGACACTGAAGGAGCACCTCTCTGCAGGGCTTATTCTCGGCCATGCAGATGATAGAGAGCTCGCCTTACCCTGTTCCCACCTGGTGTCGCCACACTCCTGGTTTGGAGTCCTGTTTTTCAGCTCCACCTCTGTCCTAGGTTTCAAACACCAGTGCTCCAAGGTAGCTATATGGTTCCAAGATACTCAGCAGGATATTTGCACACCTGTTCAGGTATTTCCATCCCGAGCACAACCACGAGGGCTGTGCTGCCCTGAACTCCCCAGTGTGTGCCCAGGGCTGGTCTGGAACTGTGAGCAGAAGCACCTGACCCGCCAGCACCTAGGTGGGGCAGAAACAGGGCCTTAGCTCTTGGGGCCTGAGCAGGCCTCAGCAAACAGCAGCTAGAAAGAGGTTTGATTCTCTTCAGCTCAGAACTGAACGAGGCAGAAACGCTTTCTGAGCTCGTCAGAAGGCTGACTGTTGCACATGTGTGTGGGTCTTGAGATGGCCCAGGATGCGAAGGGGCCTGGGGGAGGTCTGTGGCCCTGTGCTGCTGGCACTCTGACATTGCCTGGACGGTCAGGGAGCAGGAAGTGAGAGGTAGGGCTGGTGACCTCCCAGCTCCCCAGACCCTGTGGGCATGAGAGGAGATGGAAAGAAAATAAAAGTCCTTCCCTGCAAAGATCCCACATGTCCTCTGGAGAAGTCAGTCCTGTGTCCGCTGCAGACAAAAGGCTGGAAGGGCCATGAGAGGCCTAAAACTGGAGGGGCGAGAAGGGACGTGGAGACTTCATGCCAGAGAGGACACCTTGAAGTGTCCTTCGTCCAAAAGGAAGGAGGAGCCAGGGCAGCAGGGAAGAGGCACCCAAACCCTCCAGCTGGCCACCCCCGCCTCACAGTCTCAGTCCTCAGGGTTTCAAGCACCTGTCTACTCCCCGATGGACTAGTGTCTTGTGTGGCTCCTGTGAAGCCACGTGACAACCAGGTTTTCGGGTTTGGGTCCTGGAGGGTCCCACGTTTGTGATGTGATTCGTGCTGGCAGAGCAGTCGGTCCATGCTGGACTGTTCTCAGGGAACCTGCAGGAAGGACAGTCCTTTGTGCCAAGTTTGCTGTCCTCATCCTGGGCGGTATTGACCACAGGGGGCAGTGTGGTTCCATGGGACACTGATGAGGCGTTCCTGGTTCTCTGGAGGGAAAAGGGACGTGTTTCATGGACAAATTTAAGAATCAAAGTATAGGTTAAGAATGTCACGAGTCTCTCTGAGACTTCTTGGCGCATTCAAGTTATTCACATATCAAGTTACTTCAATATCTCCAAAAAGAGTAAAGAATACATGACATTACTTCAGCATCCTGAGTTTCTGGGGTTACAGGCATGCACCACCATGCCTAGCAAATTATCCCAGTACATTTTGAGGGACGAAGGTTGCAGAGATCATACTTTGGATTTATCAGTCCTATTCTAAAAACCTTACTGGAATTACCGTCTGGTCTGCCCTCCCTCCTGAGTCGAGTGACACACTCCATCTAAGATTACTAAGTAATAGCTCATCTGATCAGTAACGTCGTGCAGGTCACAGGCAGGACCCAATCTTGTCACATGGAGCCTTCCCAGCCCCAAAGACAGAGCCATGAACATAGGAGATAGTTAACAAAGCTCAGTCCAGGTGATGGACTTCACTTTATAAGCAGGGTTTATGATCTATTTGAGGGTCAGCTGTGTTGAATTCTGATTTGAACTTAACCAGGCAAAAAAAAGTTTGTTACTAAACAGCTACCACCCACAGTTGTCTCCTTCCTTCCTTGTCCCACCCCCCATGTGGCTCGCCACAGCACAGGGCGACAAGAATGCCCAAAATAGTTTCTCTGAAGACTGCATTCCTAGGGTTCCCTTCCTCATACAGCTGCAAGGAAACACAACTTGATCCTAAATATCCTGAAACCTCCTAGTAATTCTCACCATCATCCAGCAAAATCCAGAAGGTGGGCCCCAGCCTAAAAGTGGTTCTTATTGAAATATTGAAACTTTTAGACATCAGATGGCTTAAGGTGATCCCTACAAAATAGCATCCACTGCCTAGATCCAGAGGAGCAGAAGGCCATCTGGAAGAAAAGGGACAGATGAAGGGAAAAATTTTTTTAATAAATCTCACGAGTTTCCTCCTAGTCCCACTGTCTCTAAACGGCACTTACAAGTCAACTGTGCAATCTTTCTTCTTTACTGGCTCATGAGACAATGAAGCAAAAAGAACATACAAGGGTCTTGCACTTCAGAGAAACATGACTTTGAACATGTCCTTTAGCTTTCAAGCCTGTTGGGGATACATGAGAGACATTGCACCCAACAGCTGCTCCCACTTTCTTATGGATCACAGCAGCTTTTGGGGAGAGTTGACCTCAAACCAACATTGGCCTGATTGGGTCAAGGATAACACCATTCCCCTTGCTGGTGGTGGTTCTGAAGTCGGCATACACTCTGGTTCTGGCCACAGAGGAAAGAAGACATGTCTGCGGGAGACCTTGGCCCCTCTCTCCTATAGCAGTGGTGAATGAAGAAGCTACCTTCTGGCCACAAGTACGAGCAACCTTGAGACAGAGCCCACCCCAAAGATGGCAGAGTGAAGACAACCAAGACTCTATCTTTAGTGGCACTGTGACCAGCTTGTCTAGCCTTTGTTGATGTAAAACAATAAAAGATAGTTTATTCTGAGCCAAATATGAGTGACATGGCCCAGGAACATGGACTCAAGTTATCCTGAATAATTGCTCCACTGTGGAAGAGATTACACAAACTTTCATTAAAAAGTCATAAATCAGGCTGGAGGTGTGACTCAAGTGGCAGAGTGCCTACTTTGCAAGCATGAATCTCTGAGTTCAAACCCCAGTCCTACCAAAAAACAAAACAAGACAGAAAGTCATAAATCAATGCATTTTACCAAATACATTGATGGAGACATCAGGTGGGCAGTTACAGCAGAGCAGAGCAATCTCTTCCGTAAGTTTCAGATGCTATAACATTCTTAGCTTTAGGGTTGGGGAAGCTATGGTCTGC